GTGACCCCGGCGGCCTGCCCGGCACGTCCGACGTAATCGGTTGCTGATAAGATACACATCTGGGCACAGACGCAGGATAAGAGTTAACAATGGCCGCAACTGAGACTGAAGGATGCACTGTATGTAACGTCCCAGAGAGGAAAATAGCCCTTGTGGCTGCAACGTTTGTTTTGGTGAGAATTTTATATGGCATTTGAAACACAATAAGGTCATATTAGTGCCAACGATTAGATGAGAGTAACAAACAAAAAAAGAAGTAGGAGAGATAAGGATGATAGATGTTTGGTAGGAAAGAAGGAACAGACCACACCAAACCATCCGCCAACCACCCACATTTTGAGAGTGAATGATCGCAAAGTATATTATCTCTAAAACAAAAAGAGTACTCACGGCCATATATTGTCCTGGCATTCCCATAGGCCCCATGGAGCGAACCGGAGCACCTTGGTATATCATCTGTTAAGGGAAAGTCAGAAAATGACAATTATAATTATGTTGTAATAAGATTTTACGGCACTTGCAACACAACAAGGTCATATAAGTGTCTTAGATTAGAGGTGTTACGAGAAAGTAACAAAGATAAAAGAAGGAGGAGCTATACGGATGATAGACGTTTGATAGGAAAGAAGGAACAGACCACACCAAGGCACCCGCCAACCACCCACACTGACAATTGAAAACCAACAACGGCTGCAACAAACAAAGAGTTGGACAGAGAGAAGCATAACCGATGATTTTCATTTCAGGAGCTAAAGCAAAGAAAAAAAGAAGTAACTTGGGAACTTGCCCCCTTTCAAGTAAGACAATTAAATAACAAAACAAAAGTGAAAGTGAAAAAACAACAAAACAACAACATGATGAGATATTTTTGTTTTATTGTTTTAGTAAGAGTCTTACAGCACATACAACAAATTAAGTCATGTAACAAGCATGTAACAAGTGTAACATGAGAGTAACAAAGACAAAAAGAAGGAGAGATAAGGAAGATAGATATTAGACAGGAAAGAAGTTCAAGCAAACCACACCAGAGCACCTGCCAACCACCAATGAACTGATATTTAAAATGAGCTAAAATAAGACGAAACGACACAAGATTAAAAAATGAGACGAGACGACATACAACAATAAAAAAAAAATGAGATGAGACAAGACAAAAGTTTTTATAAAAATAAAAGTTAAGTTTTAGTAGAGATTTTACGGCTCTCGCAACTGCATAAGGTCATATGAGCGCCAGAAGATTAGAGGTGTTACAACAAGAGAGTAACAAACATAAAAAAGAAGGAGGGGGAGATAAGGACGATAGATGTTTGATAGGAAAGAAGGAGCAAACCACACCAGAGCACCCGCCAACCACCCACTAAAAATAAAAATGAGATAAGACAACATAAGAAGAAGAGATGTGACAACATAAGACAAGATGATATCTGCGGCTACTTACGTTAGCATTAGAAGCAGGCAAAGCTTGCCCGCCTGCTCCTGGCATCGTCTGTGGT